GTATCCCCATTTCTCAGTATGGTTCTTGGCACATAATAAGCATTTAACAAATACTTGTTGCCTGCAAGCATGTTGGTTCATTCCTGAGAAGAGCTGAGTCCAAGGACATACAACCAGGACTCAATGAAATAGTTCGGGTTCAGGGAGGAGGAAGGGTAAAATAAATTTTGATTGGGCAAATCCATGTTAAATACACCTTAGACTGATGAAATGGGTGACCACCCAAGAGATGCATAACTGCAGGAGAGAAGGTGGTCCATCCCCTCTATGAGAACCAAAGAGAGACTGACACTTCCCCAGCACTTTGACTCAGCAAGGTGGCCGATATAAATGCCAAGGTGAGAACTAGCTTCCTGGCTCCTTCTTCTTACTGAATTGGATCATATTAGTGAGATAATGTATTGGAAACACCTTGAAAACTTTGAAGTACCATATAAATGCCAATCATTATTATGATCTCTAATAGTTACTACATTTAAAGAAAGAAATCATCTCCAACTACTAATACAAAGTAGAAAATATTACATTTTAAACTACAATGTATTCCTGTTGATCGACTACTCCACATTTCTTTCTTTAAGTTGTTGTTTAGTTGTTTTTCAGTCCTGTCTGACTCTTTGTGACCCCATTTGGGGTTTTCTTGGCAAAGATAGTTGAGTAGTTTGCCATTTCTTTCTCCAGCTCATTTTACAGGTGAGGAAACTGAGGCAAACAGGGTTAAGTGACTTGCCCAGGGTCACACAGCTAGTGTCTGAGGCTAGATTTGAACTCAAGAAGGTAAGCCTTCCTGACTCTGAGTCCAGCACTCTATCTACGGGACCACTTAGCTGCCTTTCTTTATGGATAACAGTAATAACTCACATTTATGGAGCACAGCAATAATAGTTCATGTTTAGTCTTTGAGGGTTGTCACAGCTAAAATATATTAATTACCAAGTGGCTTATCTGATGATTCTCAGCTTATCCAAACTTAGCATGACTCATTCTCAGACATCAGATACGCAGCCTCTCTCTTTGCTATACTTTCGTTTTTATAATGTTAAAACAAGCAAACCAACATAAAAACAAAACAGGGCCCTTTTACTGAACAATTAAAATTCATATCAAGCATTTTTTTGCTTCCCTGGATTATAAATCCAGTATTATAAATCCTGTATTAGTTTGGAGGGTTATGTATGATACTAGGGTATGTGATTACGATGAGTGTTGTGAAATATTTCCATTTCTGCTTACTTAGCATTTGTAAAGCACTCCTATCAATGCAGTTCCCAAAACTAATTATAAAGGCATTTCTCATAACTCTCTCAAGAAAGTCAATGTCATCAGTTGTCATTTCCATTAGGAAACCTATGATTAACTTAGTCAGAAGGGTATTATTTCTGAGACACTGACTCTAATCTTTCTTTTGAAGCAGTCTTTTCAAGAACATCCTGAATTTTATCATCCAAGTGATAATGTCTTTGAGTTGCTTTTCCCCTTTCTTTTGGGTGTTTAATAGGCTTATTCCATTGGCTTCCTAGTGAAATTACATTAATTATGCATTATATTTGAATATTCATCCCTTCTCAGTTTACAAAGCATCCATCCTTTCATTTGCTCCTCACACAACCTGGTAAGGTAGATGAGATAATATTCTTATTTGACATAGGAGAAAAAGAGGTCTGCTTTATCATATTAATACTCATAGCCTGTATATTCTTGGGTATAGAAAAGAGTCCCTGAAGAATACTATTTAAAACTTACAAAATTGGAATTGAAAGGCTAGACTTGGGATCAACATCCAGGTCTTTTGACTCTAGGAAAAGTGCTTTATAGATCTATATAGCCTTTGGCAAAACCTTGTGACCAACCACATCCTTAGCTTTCTTATCTGTAAAATGCAAATAATATACCTGAACTAACTACTTAATGGAATTGTTGGTTATTAAGTGTATGTTGCTATGATTATTATCTTTTGGCATTCTGAAGTTTTTTTTTTTTCCCACTTGCCAAGGTTAGCAATAACTTTATATGGGTAGGTTACAAAGTGTTATGACTTTTTTGCTCTTACTGCTTTTGAGGCCGGCAGATTGGTGACTATCCCTAGTATGTGAGCACAAGAATGATTTATAACTATTCCGCCCTAATCCACAATTTAGATGCTTATTATTTAGAACCAGTGTCATGTACTAGAAAGCTGACCTTAGAATTAGGAAGACCAGAGTTCAAACCCAATCTCTGATCATACTTGGTGTGTGACTGAGTAACTCACTTAACTACTCAGCATCCTTCCAGACAACTCTGTTAAGAGTAAAAGTTGCAAAGCAGGTGCTGGGATGGTAAAGGGAATTTCCTTGCCTGGAAATTCTCCACATTGATGAAATCACAGAATTGTAGGGCCTGCTCATAATGGTTGAAAATGCGATTTATTTTATAAATTAGTGGTAGTAAGATGCATAATAGAGTACTTCTTGGAAATTAACTTAGTGGGGGTTGATGGTCTGGTGTTCCCAGATTTCCAAGAAATGCCTTGAGATAGAGCTAGCATTCATGCATGTACATAGGTAAAGAAAGAATTTATATAAAATTGACATCGAAAACTTAATACAACAGCAATGGCGGAAGTCCTAGACATCTTACTTCTTTTAACTTTCAGCTTTGTTCCAGAATTATTCTATACCCATTTGTCCTCTGTAATTAATTTCTTTCTCTTTGCACAGTGGAGAAAACACTGGCTCTAGAGTCAGAGGGGTTGGGTTCAAATGTGCCCCCACCTTAGCTGACAGGATGTGTGACTGTAGGCAATTCCCTCAATCTCTGTGCCTCAGTTTCCTCATCTATGAAGAGTAGGATTAGCTAGCTTCTGAGGGTTTTTCCAGGTCTATATCTGAACTCCTATGAAATGAGGCTCATCCCCAATTTCAAAATAGTCTTAGAATGGAAAAGGATCGTCGAGCTCATCAAAGCCCACGAATTGCAGGAATCCCCAAGATATGTTGGGTTGGTGGGTGCTTGAACACTTTCAGGGATAAGGAACTTACTAGATAATGCATTCCGCTATGGCAGAGCTGGAATTGTTAGCTCTTTCAACCTATATAATCCTTATAACTTCCATTTCCCCTCTTTCTCACTCTGGATCTACATAGATTTATTCAATTCCTCTTCCAAACATCTGAAACCAGCTGTTTCACTCCCTGAAGTCTCCTTTCCTCTCTGTTAAACAGTTTCTTCAACCCTTCCACTTGGGGAGGTTCTTTCCAGACCCTTCACCAGCTACGATGGTAGCCCTCTTCTGGAAGGGAGTCAACATAATTAGTGAATGCTATTCAAACAGAGCTAGTTAAGAATAATGATCCAGTGTTTTTGTTAGCCACAGTGCTCTGAGCTCCCTAGATGAAAGGCAGCTCGAGACGCCTGAGTCGTTATTATTGCTATTATTATTATTATCATTCCTGGGAGTGCAAACAATATGTAATGGTTTCATTTTATTCAGGGACAATTAAGCTATCTTATCCAACTCGTTTACCATCACCCACTTCCACTGCACATGTTTTTTTTTTTTTTTTTTGACCTCACACTCAAGTCAGCTTTTCTGGAATCCTCAGCCTGAAAAATAAACATCTATTCTGTCCACGGATAACCCCTGTGGAGTCAGGAAGGGCCAGTCTGGGTAACGCTGGCTCAGCTAGTCCTACCCCAGCCTGCCGGCTTTACTTTCCTCTTTCTGCTTGGATTTTAAAAATAATAATAATTTTTCAAAAAACCCTAAAAGTCAGTGCCTGCCAAGCTCTCCAACAATGCCTGATACCCCAGGTCCTATTTCAGGCCACTCGATCGAGGGCGTGGAGAACAACAGGAAGAAAAGAGGGTCAGGTGCCCTGCCACAGATGTGAATCCCCCGGGGCAAATTAATCCCTGGAACTGGGGGCGGTGACCCGGATAAGACGGGGAGGAGCGGAGGGAGAGAGGAAAGTGAAGGTGGACGCTGGGCGCAGCTGGACGCTGGGCGCAGCTGGACGCAGCTGGACTGCGGTTGCTCTGCGCCCCCGCGCGGGTCCCTGCACGCTTCCCCTGGCCGGAGAGCGGGAGGGCCGGCCTGCTCCGCAGCCACCCCGGGCTTTCGAGCCCAGCCCGAGGCCCCTCCTTCTCCTTCCCTTTAGCTGGTAAAGGGCGAAGCATCCGTTCTCTGGGGTTTCACAGTCGAAAGACGACTGAGTAGATGGAGAGAGAGACAAAGACAGAGCCGGAGGGAGGGGAGAGAGTGCGAGGAGGGGAAGAGGCAGAGCCGGGCGTGGAGAGGGTAAACGCACGTGTCAAAGAGGAAGGCGGGGAGAGGGCGCTGGGCACAGACTCTCCTACGGAGAGGAGTCGCTCCCGGGCAAGTCAGTGGCTCACCTGGCTTCTGGTCTCGGGAAGTAAGAAGAAGGAAAGCAAGTGTGTGCGAGGGGGAGGGAGGCCAGGCGAGGTTGGCTGATCTAGGGGGGTGGTTGTTTTTAGAAGCCGGGGGCCAGGCTGACCCCGTATCCTTCTGCAAAGCCTGTTGCAGAGGCGGTGTTAAGAGCGCTCGGCTTCGGAGCCGAAGTCCCCCGTGCCTGGGCGCTGCGGCGCAGCGGGCAGGTTGACCCCGCAAGCCGCGTTCTCTCTCTTTAACCCCTTTGTCCTCCCTATCGCAGGCGCAGCCGCAGCCGCAGCCGGAGGAGCAGGGGCCCCGACCTGCCGCTGCCTATCGCTTCCTCCCTGCTGGGCGCTCGGTTCAATGCCGGCCAGCCCTGGGACGGCCCAGGAGGAGAGGACTCGAGCCTCGGCCAGCGCGGAGGGACGCTGCTGGTGACCCCCCGCTTACTCGGCCCGGAGGGGCGGTGAGATCGGGCGGGGCCGGCCGGAGGATCCGCAGTCGGAGCCAGCCCGCGGCGTGGGACAGAGCACGTAGCGCGGCCCCGGGCAGCAGAGGCGGCGGCGGCCCCTTGGGCGGCCAGAGGGAGTGGTGCGTGGCGCGCACGTGGGGAGCCCTGGAGCGGGCAGCCTCGCGCTCTTCCATGGGGGGCTCGGGCCGCGCCCTGGCGGGGCTCCTGCTGCTAGCCGCGGCGGGGGGCTTCGGGGGAGCCTTCGGCTCCGGGCTCGCCTTCACCGAGGATCTGCTGACCGTGTTCGGGGAGAACCGGAGCCTGTCCGCGGCTCAAGTGGGTCACCTGCTGGACGATCTGGGCGCTGCGTCCAAGAGACCGCTGGAGCCGCTGCAGCACTTGGATTTGCACTATAACCAGGTACGTACGCCGTGTGACTGACGGTGACGGCGACGGTGATGGTGACAGCGACCCGGGCTTTCGCTTCCTCCTCTGCCAGCCACCTCCGGGAGCGTTGGCGGTGCCTGTCCCGTCCACCCTGGCGGCCGCTTTCTCTTTTCCTCCTTTGCCGTCCTGCCGGGTTCAAAGTGGAGAGTAGAAATTTGATTGATCACAGGAAAAAAAGCAGACGCTGGCCTTTAAGATCAACAGTTTCACTACCTAACTTTTTTTTTTTAAATTTTTTATTTATGTTTTTAAGCAAGACCAGTTTGCCTTAAGCGGACTTCTCAAGGGTAGATGTGGAGTAAGTCGAAGTTTTTATGCAGAACTGTGGGTGAAAAACTATTGCAAGGGGGAGGCACCTTCAGAAAGAGGGGAAAGTACTTTCAAAGTTCTCCAGCCATAACTGGACCTTAGGAGGGCCGCACTCAAATCCTGTCCAAAAGATTGCAGTTTACCGGTTTCTTAAAAATCTGCCCAGAACAGCCATCGTTTCCCTGGGGATAATGATTTCATTGATGCTGGGAACTCTCTGATGAGTCAATTCCATTTACCCAACACTTACGTTCAGTACTTGGCACATTGTAAGTGCTTACTTAATAAATACTTTTTGACTTGATTTTTCTTACCCATCTTATCCCAGAGAAAGCCAACCGCTCTGCAGATTATAACCTTAGTTGCTTGGGGGCACCGAAAAGTTAAGTCTTGTCCTAGGCCTTCCTGGCTTCAATCGATAGTAATGAAAATTCTGTCCTTAATGTAAAGGCTGCCAATAATTGACAAAAAGCAGTTTGCAAACACGATTTCATCTAATCCTTTTGACTACTCGGTAAGCACTAGATATTATCCTATCTTGTTTACAAATGTGGAAAGAGAGGCTTGATTAAGTGAGTCGTTCACATCAACATAGTGATGAGTGTCAGATGTAGGATTTGAACCCTGGTCTCTAAACTCCAAAAATAGAATTCTTTCCGCCCCTTGGAATGATATAGATCAGCCTTTCTCTAAATTCTGAAGGAAGAAGAACTTGGATTTAGTTTACATTTTTCTCTACTCCCTTCTTTTATAATTCTTTCAGTCCAGCCCCCTGCCTACCTGGGAGTCTCCACTTAGTTCCTTGGCCATTCATCGGGCTGTTAACTTTGAGTACCCTTTCAAAGTTGGAGTCTACACTTTCCTACCCAAACAAAAACTCTGTTTTGTTCAGGGCTCTTTTCCTATGACAATAGGTGGTAGTGGGTTAATCTGATAAACTGATTCATGCTAAATGTGTTGCCTTGGCAAGCTAGTACTATACTCATTTACTGTGGCCTAGGCCCAATCTTGAGTCCTGTGGCTGACTAGAGAGGGGGGAGAAATTTTGTTTCTTTGGTTTTGGTATGGCACACCTGTCTCACACCATCACTTGAGAACTAGAGACAGGGTGGGTTCTGATAATAACGTAGACGTGAATGGTTCCGCTTTTGTGTCTGGGACACCATCATTTAAGTCTGATCAAGTCATCTCCCCTTTCCCCCCGATAAACTGCAGTGGTTCCTTCAGGATCAAAAATACAATTCTCTCTTTGGTGTTCAAAGCCCTTCATTACCTTCTCCCTACTCTTTAACTCACTATCACTGGCCTCCTTGCTGTTTATCAAACAAAACACTGCATCTCCCAATTTAGGATGTTTTCACTGGCTGGCCCCCTCCTCATCTCTGCCTCTTGGCTTCCTTCATTCTGTCTCTTCCTACTCCCCTCCCCCCAGTGGTGTCTTAACTCTTTGTGACCCCATTTAGGGTTTTCTTGGCAAAGATACTGGAGTAATTTGCCATTTCCTTCTCCAGCTCATTTGCGGGCTGAGGCAACTGAGGCAAACAGGGTGAAGTGACTTGCTCAGGGTCACATAGCTAGGAAGTTGTCTGAGTTTCAGGAAGATGATCTTCTCTTCCCGACTGCAAGCCCAGCACTCTATCCACTGCACCACCTAAAATTTTACCTTCTATAGGAAAGCCTCCTCCTGATCCCTCTTAATTCTAGTTCCTTTCCTCTGATTATTTTTAATTTATTCTCTCTCTATATATATCTTCTTTGTACCTCTGTGTTGCTTATTGTCTCAGCCATTAAACTGTGAACTCCTTGAGGACCTTCACTATTGTCTTTCTTTGTATCCCTAGGACTTGGCACAACACATAGTAGGCACTTAATAAATGTTGATTGACCGGGGGAAAAAAAACCTACCACTATCTCTTTATTCTAATTGTAGCAAAACCCAATGCTGTTTCACGTATTGTCTATATGCTTCTAGAGACTTCAGACCACTTAGAAACTGACCCTCCACTTTCCTTCTGCCCCCAAAGGGGAAAAATATGTGGAATGCTTGCTATAAGTAACAAATGGAAATTTATTAATGGTTTGCCCCCTTGCTCAGGGGTAAGGCTGACTCAGATGGGTAGATTGTACCTTGTGTTGATACCAGGTCCCATTCTGCTGAGTTAAACATCTAAAGGACCTTTGCTATGCTCTTGCCGGGTATTTGAAGGTTGTGGGGAAAGAAAGAAAAAAAAAAACTTCAAGAGAGACAGGAGCATAAATTCTCACATTTCCAGACTTGATAGCAAACCTTGACAAAGAACCATCAGTTAAATGAACAAATCACTTATGTGAGAAGTATTTACTTAGCAACAGTCTATTAATGTGGGATTATTGATTTTTGTAGGGAACAATATGCAGAGGCAGCTTGGAGTAGTTTGGCCTTAGAAAGCTGGCCTGGGAAGGGGGAAGATTAGGGTTCCAGTGTGACCCGGGCTAGTTCTCATTTCCGGGGGGGGGGGGGACCTGTTTTCAAAAGGCCACGTATAAAGATCTAGAAGGCCACACCTGGCCTTAACGTGGCAGGTTTCCCACCCCTATAAAACCTCTCAGTTCTATGGGCAACTCTATGAGAATCTGGTTTGTGGAAAAGGTGTGACCTGCATGAGTCGAGGAAGCCTTCTGCCTTGGAAGTTCCCCATGCCAAGGACATTACCGATTCAGTCCTAATCTTAGCATGGAGAAGCCACTCAAATTTAGGGAAAACACTGGAGACCATTTCATTGTGTTAGTAGACTTTAAACAGCACTGATTTCAGTCAGCTGCCCCTGGACTTAAGTAAAAAATTAAGAATAAGCCAAGAACTCGTTAGAATAGACTTGAGAGAACTTTGCTTTGAGAACTTGGGAAAAACTGAAGTAGGGACCAGAACCTTTCCCAAAGGCAGGGCATGGTGATTCACAGATCTCTACAAATGGTCAGGGTTTTTGAATGTGTATTGTAACAAATAATGAGCTACCTTACACCAGACAGTAAACTATTCTCTGGTGGGGAAATTGGCCAACTTGGGAAATACATATCCATATATATTTTAAATGCAGTCACAGCAATTGGGTAGTGTTTAACAAACTGCTGTTCTCCATAAGGTTCCTTAATAGTCAGTCTGTTAAAATTGGTGGAAAAAAAACCCAACTGGTGCATATTTGTGTTTTAAGTTTCTCTTTGTTTAGAATTAATGAAGGGGGAGAGGATACAACACCCTCTATAGAAGGGGGATGGGTAATATAAAAATAAGATTCGCTTAGGTTGAAGCTCCTAGGAACCTCTTAGAGAGAGAAAGCAATTGGCTTGCTGCTTGCCTAGCCTTTCCCAGAGTGGGAGGTGGCCCCAGTGAACCTTTCTTCTTGCTCCCTCTGGGCCTGAGATGCAGACTTAGACCAGCTTAAAGTTGAGAGCCTACTCCATGCAAATGTATTTTCCAAATGCATAAAAAATTTTCAAACATACTTTTAAAAACATTTCTGTAAAGTATTTTTATGTGTGAATAGTTGGTTTTCCAGAATTGCAAAGGAAATGCATTTCACAACTGGTAAAATATGCTTGTTTGAATCAACGAAATGATACGAAGATTACAAACGTTTTCTCAGAAGGAAATCCTGGAAATGAAAAAAAATGTCATGGACATACCAAAATCCTATGATTCAGATATTTCCAACCTGATATTTCTACATGTAGGAATCAGTAATTAATAACAAGAATAAATTTTAATTCACTAAATGTTTCCCAATTACATATAAAAACAATTTTTTAAACAGTCATTTTTAAAAATTGAGTTCCTAAATTTTCTCCCTCCCTCTCCCACTTCTGGAGGAGGTACAGGATACAAGAAATTTTATTAACTAGGAATACATTCAGGTTCACCAGCAGCTGCTACTCACACCTCAGAGTCACTTGTCTTGACTTTTCCAAGCTCTCCTCAGAAAAGCAGCCTGTTGCTTCCTCTTTTGCAGTGTTTCTAATATCAACAGACAATTAACAACACCTGCTGCTTGGCCGGGCATTGAAGGAGACCAAAAACTTGGGCAATACTTGGGCTCCCAGCCTTTGTGAAATTAGTTCATAATCTAGTCGAGGACAATACAGACAATAGTCAATAAACATTTATTATTAGTTGTATCATGTATACACAGGACTTATTAACCTGGGGTGCAATGAACTTGTTTAAAAAGAAAATTGATTTAAAAAACTCATTAAAAAAAAATCCATGTCTCCCATACTGGAGACTTTTGTTTGTACATTTATTATTTTAAAAAATACAGAATTTTAAAAATCACAAACCATAAATATTTTGATAGCTATATTTCAGTATATTTATATGCAGTATACATGTATGTATGTATTTCGGCATAAAACACACACACATATTCCCTTCACAAAACTAGGTAGTTTATGCATTTAAAAACAATCTGAGAAGGGGTTGATGAACTTCACCAGACTGCTCAAGGAGGCCATAATGCACAAAAAGGTTAAGCCTTGCTGTAGTGCATTGTGTGTGTGTGTGTGTGTGTGTGTGTGTGTGTGTGTGTGTGTGTGTTAGCATGTTAGCATGAGATTAACAATCTGTCTCCATCACTAGGCTTTCTATATTATCTGTTCTCTACTGGGCCCTCACTGCTATACAGCAATTC